AACCACCAGAAAACCAGAAGTGGCGCTGTAGCTCAAGTGGTAGAGCACTCGCCTTGAGCTGAAGAGCTGAGGGACAGCGCCCAGGCCCAGAATTCAAGCCCCACGACCGACCAAAAAAAAAAAAAAATCCTGTGCAGATGTTTGCATGGGGCTGGCTGGAACAGAATTCCACAAGGCCTACAGATCATCAGCCACAGTCCCTTAAATATTACAGGTTTGAAACCCATTTAATACTCGTCTAGTCTTTGCAGAGAGACACCTGGAGAATCAGGGAGAAGACTGCCCTCGGGCTAATGTAGGTCTAGAACTTAGGCAGAGTGAAGTCCTCCATTTCTCAGTCTAGCTCCTGTAATATCAGATCCATGAGTTTGTCTTCATTGACTTCTCCTTGGCACTGGGATCATTATGTATAGATATTCAGGGCTCTGGAAAGTCCATTAAGACTTTCTCCAGACAGCTTACCATTTGGATCATATGCAATGAGAAGCATCAGCCCTGAAAGGCACTGGTATTTCTCTTGGTAACATCATTAAAAACAATTACTCATGGTCACACAAAGCTGGTTTTCATGTTTTGTTTGTTTTTGAAAAGACTAAAGAGAAGCTTCTCTTTAGGATTAGTTGTATTGATTTCAAAATTAATCCTTGCCAGGCATGGTGGTACAGACCTATGATTCTAGCACGTAGGTGGCTGAGACAGAAGAATCACAAGTTCAAGGGCATCCTGAGCTACATAGTGAAACCCTGTGTCCAAAAAACAAATCCTACAGTAACCCTACAAGGTTTATGCATGATCTTGATAATGTATAAAGCAATACAATAGTCTCTGGATTTTCAAAATCTTGGAATATTCATCTTGAAAATGACTATGAATTTTGATTACTTGGGATAATTTCTAATAGGATGGCATTAGAGTTACCATCATCATGTGCCACTTCTGAAAAAAAATTAAAAATTCCAAATCCCAGAAGCAAAAATATTCCTTAAACCTCAATACTTTGTTCATTCAGTAACTAGCAGCCTGTGTGCATTATAGAAAAGAGAGACTGCTTTCTATAATCACTTGGGTCCATTCAACTCAGCAAAAATGGTAACAAAGTTTTAATACAGGTAAAAATTTTAAGAGTTCTGAAATTTTTCAGTTGGTTTTTGTTAACTCAGCTGCCACCTAGTGGCTTATTATATATACATATATACGTAGTGTTCATGAAACAGGCTCTCATCAACATCTCTTTGAAACAAAACAAACAACACAGCTAGTTAAAGAAATAATTATTGCCACTGAGAAACAATTATTCTTTCTAATAATCTTGTTTAAGTCTAGTTACATTCCATTTCCTGTCTCCTAGACTGTTTAATTTTTCCATGAAAAGAAATTGATTCTACCAATTCGTTATTGTTGTAGAAATAATACTGTACACTTGGGCTAGAGCTGAAAGCAAGGAAAGAAGGTCCTTGCCTTCTGCAGAAGAGAAGCATGAAGGCCAACACTGGGCTACATGATGAGTATTTGAAAAAACAATGGATGAGTTATAAGAGAAGAATTAGAAAGAAAGCCCTTGTGGCACTGTGTTATTAACTCGGAGAGTCTCAGTTGAGGCATGAGCATAGAACTGTGAGGTAGGCCATAAGAACCTGCCTGCTTGTACAACCCTGTTATTCTTCTTGCCAGAGTTAAATTTTACTAGAAGATTGGATACTTTCTGTCTCTGTCTCTGTCTCTCTGTCTGTCTCTTTCTCCAGGAGCTTTCTCATTTCAACTTTGTTCTCTAACAATTCAGATCTCAGTGTGAACCTAAACAAAGCTGATGTCTCCTAGAAATGTAAATGCAAGAGGAAAAAAACATACCCCTTTCATGACTCAATTTCATTTTTTATATTAATTTAAGATCTAGAGAGCCTGGAGAAGAATCTGAGAGATGCTATCATCTATGGCCAACCACGAACTGGCAGAGCTTGGAAAAAGATTCTCATCCTAGTGGAAGGCATCTACAGGTACATTTTAAAAAATGATAAAGTTTTATATCCTAAGGTCCACAGCAGCTGATTATTGGGGAAAACAGAACTTTCCTAGACAGATAAATAAATAAGCTAGATGCAGATATGGCAGGGAAACCTAAGGTGGAGCAGCCAATGGAAGTTGGCAGGCCTTGGGTCCACTGTCTTCTTGGTAAGTTTGTGTGTTGTGTAACACTTTGTAGACTGGGAAGCTTTCCTCAGGGGCAGCCTCACTGCTAACTTTAGTTGATTCTTTTAACTGCTCCAGAGTTTAAGAATCCTTTTAAGCCAGGGTTATTCAACACCAGAATGTTTTTTTGCTGGGTTCTAGTGGTTCATTCTTGCAATCGTAGCTATTGAGATCTGAGGATCATGGTTGGAAGCAAGCCCATGCAGGAAAGTCTGTGGGACTTTATCTCTAATTAACTACCCGCCCCCCCCCCAAAAAAAATAGAGCTGTAGCTCAAATGGTAGACTGCAGCCTTGAGAGAAAATACTGAAGGACAACATTCAGGCCTTTGAGTTCAAAACAGAAAGAAAGAGATATGGAGAGGGGGGGCAGGGGAGAGGAGAAGGAAGGAAGGAAGGAAGGAAGGTAGAAAAGAAGAAAGGAAGGAAGGAAGGAAGCAAGCAAGCAAGCAAGCTAGTTCTTTCCCTTAGCTTTCTGATTACTCTAAATGGACAGCGCATCAGAATTCCAGTTAACTTCTGAAGTAGGTCAACCATTTATATCTCAGAACACAAAAGACCTACTTATTTTCCTCAAGGGATAAACTTGGAGTGCAACATTGTCTCCAGAGCTTTAATAGGGGTGTGTGGGAGATCTTAGTATCAGAAGATATGCCTGGGATGGAATTTTCCCTTAAAGTGAGCAAACAAAACACCCACTAAGCTATTCAGAGCAGCACTTTTATGTTGGTGGTTGTGATTGAATTTGCTTCTTTCCCTGTCAAAATTGATTATCTTGGTGAAATGGGAACAGAATCCAAGTGTTTGTTTTTCCTAGCTGAGTGTCTGCTCCTAATCACCTCTCAGAAGAGAATCCTCAGGAACTTTAAAGGAGTCAAGAGGAATATTTTCTTTGAGATACTGCAAAGAAGTGAAAAATAATCAGAGGAAAGAAAAGAGAAATGTTTTACTTTCCAAATTGAAGCATGACTGCACTGAAATTTGAGAACAGAAGTAACATTACTGCTAGGCAGGTATTCTAACCAGTCCCTGAGTGATCATCTTTTGCTATACATGTGACTGACAAGTAACAAGTGAAATACAGTTCCACTCCTTTAGTAAAAATAGAAAATAATTTTCTCAAATTAATAATAATAGTAATAATAATGGCATCTTTGAACTCAGAAATTCCTACCCAATGACAAGTGTTCTAAGTCTCCAAAGTGTGATTATGGACTTGCAAAGATGACACTTCCAATGTGTTGTAGCTGACTTTCTCATGACATATTTTTCCTCCTAAGATCCCAAGAGTATTTGTTGCTAAAGTTTTTGTGTTCACTCCAGACTAGCAGTCCTTGTATGACATGATTTTTGCCACTATCTCAAACCCATGGCACACTTGACAATATTTAGTCACCACAATTGTTGAAGGTCAATTAGCCTCTAGTGGGGAGAGAGGCTTGGGGTGCTGCTAAAATTCTTACAGTGCAAAGAGGGCAGCCCTCTGTTAAAGACTTGTGGAGCTCAAGATAGCAACTGAGACAAAACTGAGAAGCTTTGTTCTGCAATATTAAGGACTCCTGGCCCTAAATTTGCTACTTTTAGGAAGAAATCTCATATTAACACTGTCATGACCTCAAACATAGGTTGTTCTCCTCTATGGTTTCTGCCAGCTGCCAGCCTGGAAGATAAGCAAACAGCCCTTACCTAAACACCTGTCATTCAGACTTAGACTAGTGGGAGAAACTGATTGGTTGTGGGACAGCAGGGTCAACAGAACCCAAGTATAAATAAACAGAACATGGCCCTACTAAATGAAAGTTATGTCGTAAGGTCTTTGATCATGGCTGAAATGAAGAGGACCACCAGTATTTCACTGACAAATATCCCCATCCAAGTTGCACAGAACACTACTCCAGCAGCAGGACTTGTTAATGGCTAGGGTAGGCCTGTGTCCTTCCTTGATATCAAGAGGACAAGGGAATCAAGTGGAGACTTCTGGTGCTCAGCCTGCATGGCACCAAACCACAATTAAGAGTGTATTAGCAAAGGCGTCTGTTGCATCATCTATTGCTATGTAACAAACCACCCTAAAACACAATGACTCACTGAGTGATAATTTGTTATTACTCATACTCCTGTGGGTCATCCGGACCCACCAGGAAGTTCCTGTGCTGCACATGCTGTGTGTTCACAGGTCCTTCATGAGATGATATTTAGCTGAGAGTCTGACTGGGACTGAGCATCCAAAATGGCATCATTTACCTATATAGCCTTGAATACTTTTCCTATACACAGTCTCTTCTCATTCAGTTTTCCAACCAGAGCTTCCTTACAATATGGCAGCTGGCTTCTACGGGAGCAAAAGTAGAAGCTGCCTTGGTTTTTAAGGGATCAGCCCAGATATCATACAACATCCTTTGTTCTATGCTCTATTGGCTAAAGCCTATGACAAGGCTAGCCCAGATTCCAAGGCAGGTAAAGTAAGTACACCTTAACGCCTGATGTGAGGATCCATTTTTTTGTAGACAGGGATGGCAAGACCTTTCAGGCAGCCATCTTTGGAAGCAACCTAATACACGATTTCAATCAACCTGGAAGGTATGCAGAGCTCAGTTTCCACTTCCCCTGGACTTTGCTGCCACAAGGAAGTTGCTTTTATCCCATCTCCACAGAAAGCTTGTCTCTAAATGACTTAGAAAAGCTATCTCCCTAGACAAGAATCAGGCCACTTCTTTGATGCCTCATGAAATAAGGTTTTCCAGATGGGAGAGCTCGAGCCCTAAATCTCAGTGGGGAAACTCTGATATAGACATTCTAATTTGCACCAAAAGATGAAATTATTTCCCATAAAATTGTCCAGAGGGATGAGTTAGGAATGTGAAGTCAGTTGCCACAGTACATTTTCTATTCTTAAGAGGTATATTGTGAACAGATTGATAACCGTCAAACACATCCTTTTAATTTTGACCACTAGATTTTTGTTTTCCTCTTGACTATGGTCTGCCACCATGAGCAAAGTATGGGCATATGTAGAATGGGAAGAGTCAGAATTTGGAGGCAAACAAGAGACCAGGGTTCAATTCCTTGTGCTGCTCTCCATATTTGTGTAGTCTTCATAAGGTATTTAGTGTGTGTGTGTGTGTGTGTGTGTGTGTGTGTGTGTGTGTGTTATGAGTTTGAATTCAAGGCATTATGCCTGCTGGGATAGCAATGTACCACTTGAACCATGATCCCAAGTGTTTTGTTTGTTTTGCTTTACTTTTTTTTTAATATAGTCTTGTGCTTTTTGCCCAGAGCCAGCCTCAGACCATAATTCTCCTACTATTCACACATAGCTGGGATTGCAGGCATGTACCATCACACTCAACTTGTTTGTTGAGAAGAGGTCTTGCTAACTTTTTGTCTTAGCTGTCTTCATACTGCTGCCCACCCCCAGTCTCCCCTTCCTGATTAGCTGGATTCACACACAAGAGCCACAAAATCATAGGACACAAGTATTACCTGAAGTCATAAGCTCCTCCTTGACAGGTGCCTGGCCCTACAGAAAGTTCATAACAAAGGGTGACTGTCTTAGCATATTTGTTTGCAGTTGAGGGAGTTTCTATGTGGAAAACAATGAGCTGTCTATGGAGCAAGGCTATTTGATGTTTATCTCCCTAGAGGGAGGGTGTCAGAGCAAAGAATGCTATTAACCAAGTGTCCTTGACCAACATTTCACCTGTGTAGTCTTGAGTAAGTTTCCCAGAAGCTCTAGAGTCATTGGAAAGATGAAGAAATAGAGGCTCAGAGGCCCAGACAACTTGCTCTCTGAAAGATAGGTGAGGGAAAGCAGAGTTCAATTACAACCTGGTGGCCTAAAGGTGAACAGGGGGGACAAAGGTGAAATGTGCATGGAAGAGCTGGGCCATTGGTCCATACCACTGGCAAAAACGCAGAAAATGCAAGATCATTCAACTGACCTTTGTAATGACCTTCTCTGCCCTTGATTTCTTCATTTGTAAAGGAAGGTTAAAAACTCAAAGTCTATAGTTCCATGAATGCATAATTGGGGGGGGGGGTGTTTAAAAGCAGAGTGGTATTATTTTAGTGTCCTCTTCTGTATATTCCTAGACTGATCTTAAGGTCCTATCTTTGTAGTTTTGTGTCTACATAACATCTAGGCTCTTACCAACTCATCATATTTGACCAAGAGCAAAACAGTTCAAACACAGACTGGGGGAAATGGTGTCTCCAACAACCTAGTACCTAGACTAGAATAGTTGAAATCCAGATTCTTCAAGTGGAAAGGAATCTAAATGTAACATTCATTGTGAGGTCTCACAATGCCATGTACTCTAAAGTAAATTAAATAATATTAAAGTGAGTATTTACATGTACTTCTGGAACTCAGTGGATTTCAAAGAGCTTTGGACTCTTCCATTTTCAGAACACTTTGTGAGGCATGTCTGCATTCACATCTTTGTGCTTCCCTGCAGGTGAATTCCTTGACAATACACAGACTCAATGTTTACTATACAAAAGAGCTTGTTGAACAATTCAAGCACATTTTCAATTTAGTCCAAGAATGAATCAATTTTCCTCCTTCCTATTTTTATTGTGCTAGATTGCACTTAATATATTTACACAGTAAGCTTCGGCGTTAGGTGAATTTAGTCCACACCAGCACAGCCACCCATATCACTAGGAGTTGGGTATGAATATCAAGGAACAGTTGGGTGTTTCACAAGGTCATTTTAGATGACCATGTTCACTTGTGAAGGGAATAAAGAACAAGTAGAGTCCGCTTTTCTCATGCAAGCTTGTGAGTTAATTCCACCCGTTTCTTTGATTGTTAAAATTGTCTTTGTTGAAGGATGCAGTATGAACCTCTGACTTCCTAAGCTTAGATTGTGGCCACATCACTTACCGGTGGAACACTGGCCGATTTCCATGATCTCCTCTGCCTCCATTTCTTCATATGTAAAATAAGCAAGATGATGGAGACCTCCATACATGTTTTGTTTTTTGCTTGCTTGTTTGTGTGTGTCTGTCTGTGTGTGTGTGTGTGTGTGTGTGTGTGTGTGTAGTAATGGGACTTGTACTTAGGGCCTAGTATCTGCCTCAGATTTTTCCACTCCAGGCCAAGACTCTACTACAGAGCTAGTTGTGCTGCCCTCTAGCTGTGGCTAGAGCCATAGACCTTCTTCTGGCTTTTTTGTTGGTTAATTGAAGAGTCTCCCAGACCTTTCTATATAGCTAGCTGGCTTTGAACCATGACCCTCAGATCTCTACCTCCTGAGGAGTCCGGATTAGGGACATGAGCTACCAGCACCCAGCCTCACGGGGGTTTTTATAAACATGAGAGGATGCTGTGCTCATGGCATACCCAACCCATCATAAGCACCTTGTTTTTTTAGATGAAGCCCCAGGAGGAAATAGTGGCAATGAGAAATCAGAGCCCTTGATAATGTCCTAATTTGAGCCTTCTAGAAATGAGGCTCGTTGGTGTCATCCTAGAGAATCAAACATAATGTATGACGTTAAAACACTCTCAATATGCTAGAGTTTGGGTTGCATCTTTAAGATGTTATAAGTTGACACAAAGACACTGAAAACTCAACACATTACAACTAGTCATTTTTGGTCTACAACTGAGTTAGGCAGGAGGCAGAGTTCATATTGTACAATATTTGCAGTTAATTAGCCATCCTTCCACAGGACTAGCCTTGCTGATATTAGGAGTCTGCCACACCTGATTTTTATTTTTTTTCCTGTAAGATTATCAACTCTGCAGTACTGCTGAGTTTTAGAGTAAATGTAGAGCCCATATGGAGTCTTAAGGGGAACTTAGATTTTATAGGGTTTTATTTGCCCATATGAAGTTTTCTCTTTTTTCAGGTTACCAAGTTTAAATTTAACCATTTCCCATAGGGACATATTGAGTCTCAAGTGCATGAATACACGGGTTGTCTATGTTATTCCTATTAATTTCTGTCCAAAGAAATATCAAAAGCAATAAAGAAAAAAAGCATTGATTCTTTCTTCCAAAAATAGGAGATTGTATAGAACGTTACTAGAAGAAAAAGAACTAAAATACACCTATGGTTAAAGATAGTTCTTTGAAGCAGGGACTTGGAGCTAGCAGGTCAGTGAATAATTTCTTTTCTATTGCATAAGACACATAACCCGGAAGAAGGAGAGTTGGTTAATTCTTGAATGAAGGTGAAAGTATGCTTGAATAGTTTGACATGCTTTTTTGTATAGTAAACATGCAAGACTGTAAGTGTTGTCAAGGAATTAATTCCCCTGCAGTAAAGTCAAAACTGTGAATGCAGACAGACTTGACAAAGTGTTCTGAGAACTGAATAGAGTCAAAAGCTCTTTCCAAACCATTGAGTTCCAGAAGTACATGTAAATATTCGTTTTAATTTTACTTAGTAATTTGTATTATTCCCTTTGCTGGAGGACTTGAGGCATTTTTGCAATTCAATTGTATGTGTGCATGAGTGAACAGGAGCACATTGGGGCTTGAACTCAGGGCCTCAAGCTCTTGCTTGGCTCTTTTGCTCAAGGCTGAGGCTCTTGTCAATTGAGCCACACCTCCACTCCCAGCAATTTTGCTGGTTAATTAGATATAAGAGTCTCTGGAGTTTCTCTGTTATTCAAGATCAAAGCCCAGAGCTACCCTGGGCAGAAAAGACCATCAGACTCTATCTCCAAAATAACCAGCAAACAGCAGGGCTGGAGGCATGGCTCAAGTAGTGAAACACCAGCCAAACAGCTGAGTGAGTGAGGCCCTGAGTTCAAACCCTAATGTTGTTCCCCATCCCCCCCCAAAAGACTTCTATTTTCAGTGAACAATGAACAGAAGTCCTTGGGACTTTCTTATTGCATTTTTATTTTATTGTATTTTTATATTTTGGTCATGGGGCTTGAATTCTAGGCCTAGGTACTGTCCCTTAGCTCTTCAGCTCAAGGTGAGCGTTCTACCACTTGAGCCCAGTGCCACTTCTGGTTTTCTGAGTGGTTTATTGGAGATAAGGGTGTCACAGACTTTCCTGCCCAGGCTGTCTTTGAACCATGACCCTCAGATCTCAGCCTCCTGAGTAGCTAGGATTACAGATGTGAGCCACCAGCTCCCAGCTCTTATTGTATTTTAATGAGTGCTGAGATATCTTAAGTTCTTTGAGGTATTTTTAATCTCCTCTTTTAATCTTTAGCAATTCAAACACAGAATTTAGGTTAGCCTGACATTTTGACCCAACTGATAATAACAGGTAGATAAAGATGGTTCACCAGAAATCAATGCAATTAAACTAGCAAAACATCCAGCATCTGCAGTAGTTGGGTTAGGTACCCTGGCCAGAATTACAAATGAATTGGATCAACAATTGAGTGAGTTCGTTGTTGATTTGGGAATTGAGTGTAAGAATCCAAACAGTCCATCCAGCGAATGGAAATGACTTTTTTCAAGTAACAGAAGCATATTGAGCAGCCTTCCAAGATGAACATACCATCCTTCCGAAGAGAGAAGTAACAGAGTTTTGTCATGTCTGGCTGGTGTCAGGATAAACTAGTAGGGGTCTTGGAAGGGAAACTCACCAAGGAGGTTATTCATTAGTGTTGAACATTTTGTTTTCCTTATTCCCTAGTATGGAAGGTACTATTGTGAATCTTCCTGGGATTGTGGCTCTAAAGAAGAAATACAAGGCTTACCTCTACGTGGATGAAGCTCACAGTATTGGAACTGTGGGCTCAAGTGGCCGAGGTGTCAGAGAATACTATGGATTGGCCCCTGATGATGTGGATGTATACATGGGCACATTCAGCAAGAGCTTTGGAGCTGTTGGAGGCTACATAGCTGGAAAAAAGGTAAGAAATAGGCTACTGGTGGCCCATTAAAATCTGACCACCCTGGAAACACTATAGTAATCAGGGCCTCTGTGAATTTCTTGAAAGCCTCAATTCAGTTCAATATATGTCACCTGATTGCTATTGCTTTAATTATACTAGGAATCCAGCCAGGTGAGACCCAGAGCACTTGGAGTGCCATCCAATACTAAAAGAAAGAGTATGGAAGGAGTAATTGCAATAAAAAGGAACACAGAAGAAAACTAACTCTGCAGGGCAGTGTTGTACAGAATGAATGTTAGTCTTGTAGACAGATGACCAGAGGTTTCATCTCACCACAGAAATAATAAATAAGGGTGGGAGAGCCACATTCTAGTGACTTAGACCTATAATCCTATCAGGAAGCTGAAATCTGTGGATCAAGGTTCAAAGCCATTAACATTAAGATAAGGAGGAGGCTACAATGCTTGATAAGAAATGTGCTCATTATCTTGCCCATGTAATTGTAACCCCTCTGTACAGTATTTTCACAATTAAAAAAGCCATCCCAAGTAGAAAGTCTGTGAGACACTTATGTACAATTAACCGCCAGAAAGCTGGAAATGGAGGTGTGGCTCAAATGTAGAGTACCAGCCTTGAGAGGAAAAAGAAAACTAAGAGACAGTGCCCAAACCCTGAGTTCAAGCTCCAGTACCTAAACTCTGGTAGTTAGGATAGTAAAAGAGGAGCACTCTTGTCTACCTAACTTTTCTATTCATTTTGGGTAGGTACTGACCATTTATAAAAATGGGTGCAATTAACATTAATATGGATGCAGAAAAGTGTATACATTTGTTCCTTTCCTTATTCTTTATTTATTTATGTATTTATTTTTGTCGGTCGTGGGGTTTGAACTCGGCCTGGGCACTGTCCCTCAGCTCTTCAGTTCAAGGCTGGTGCTCTACCACTTAAGCTACAACGCCACTTCAGGTTTTCTGGTGGTTTATTGGAGAAAAGAGTTTCACGGACTTTCCTGCCCGGGTTGGCATTGAACGGTGATCCTCAGATCTCAGCCTCCTGAGTAGCTAGGATTACAGGCGTGAGCCACCGGCGCCCGGCTCCTTTCCTTATTCTTTAAAAACTCATCTATGCATACTTGAATCCAGGGGGGGCTGTACCATTCATTCCTCCTACTCCACCTCTTTTCTCCACCGGGTCCATGTTACTTTGCAGTATTTAAACATGCCACTAGATGGCAGCAGAAGTTGTGAGTACTTGGCAGAGGCTCAGCAGATACTGAGGGCTGCTGCTCTACAACCAACAGCAAGATACAAAACCTGGAAGACACAGGCAGTGTTCAGGATCTAGAGACTGAGCAGAAATTATCAAAGCTCTTAAGGAACCGCATACATGTGTTCTTGCTTGGTGATTTAAAACTCAAGCAGGCACACATCTTTCTAAAAATGGTGTTGGTGAGACTGACAAATCCAGATAAATTAGTTTCCTTCCAGCCTACTGAGCCAATGAAGTAATGTAATATATGCATCTGCTCTTCTGCACTTTAAGTTTCAAACTTACGTTAACTCTAGACTATATGGGTGTACATATATTGTATATATATATATATATATATGTACATATGTATATATCTGTAGTTTCCATTTAAATCATACATCTTATTCTATTGAACTTTGGATAATTTTGTGAAGAATTTCCATTTTGAGTGTATTTTAAACTATTCTTTTTAACTACAAGGACTGAAATTCGCCTATACATAAAGGGTTTGTTTGTTTTTCAAGGCTGGTCCTGGGCCTGGAACTCTGGAGCCTGGGCACTGTTCCCCTTTTTCTCAAGTCTAGAATGCTACCATTTTAGTAACACCACTTCCAGCTTTTTCTGTGATTAATTGGAAAGTAAGAGTCTCATGGACTTTCCTGCCCAGGCTGGCAAGTAACCAACCTCAATCCTCAAAGCTCAGCTTCCTGAGTAGCTAGGGGATTATAGGTATAAACCATTGGCCCAGTTCTAAAAGTAAAAAATTTTATTGGAAAAAAAGTCTTCCTAGATGTCTGTTTTTGTTTTTATTTTTGTTTTGGTCGGTGATGGGTCTTGAACTCTGGGCCTGGGTGCTGTCCCTGAGCTCTTCAGCTCAAGGTAAGCACTCTACCACTTGAGCCAAAGCACCACTTCCCATTTTCTGGTGGTTAATTGGAGATAAGAGTCTCACAGACTTTCCTGCCCAGGCTGGCTTTGAACCATGATCTTCAGATCTCAGTCTCCTGAGTACCTAGAATTACAGGCATGAGCCTCTGGCACCCAGCCCTAGTTATCTGTTTTAATAATGAAAGCATGGCTTCCAAAGTTGTAAAGTTCCATAATACATGTATATATATTTATATATATATATTATTTGTATATATGTACAGATGTGTATGTACATATATATCTTATGTACATATGTGTGCATGCATGTATATATCTTCACTATGTAAAAAATATTTGTTTAGGGAGAAAACAATTTGGTTTGGTGCTAAGACCACCAAAAGTGTTTGCCTTGTCCTCTGGATTCCCCTCACAATGTCCTCTCAACCCTTCAAGACTCACTACTCACCTGTGATTTCTTTTTCTTTTCTTTCTTTATTTTTTCCTATTTTGTGCCCAGTACTGGGGCTTGAACTTAGGACCTGGGCACGATCCCATAGCTTTTCTGCTCAAGACTGACACGTTACCATGGGAGCCACACCTACACTTGTAATTTTTGTTTGGTTAATTGGAGATAAGACGCTCACAGACTTTCCTAACCAGACTGGCATTGAACCAAGATCCTCCGATTTCAGCCTTCTCAGTAGCTAGGATTACAAACATAATCCATCAGCACCCAGCTGTGGCTTCTTTCTCTGAAGACTTCCACAAGTTTCCCTTTTGCTCACTTTGAATTTGGAGCTTGTGTAGATGTACAGTGAACAGTCCACTTGGAAGACTCTGGCCTTTCTCAGATAATTATGACTCACTGCCATACCATGATGAATTATTTTCTTTGTCAGTTTTTTTTAATCCAATTGCTGAAAGATGTGGTCAACATTGGAGACTTTTAGGCATGTATCCTGAGTTCTGTTGCCTGCTTCTTTTTCTACCCACTGACTTCCACAGCTCCTGTAGGCTAACCAGAAAGACTTTCAAACAAATGAAGCAAAGGTTGCCTTTGTGATTGATAGGTTGCAGGGCTGGAATTCTGGAGGAGGGAGGCCAACTTTAGGGTAATCATTAGCCCCCACAGTCTGTGAGCCAGGCATAGCAGGCCCTTTACAGAAGCCAGCTCTGCCCTGGCGTTCCCAGCCCTGGCTGTATTTAATAGCCCTTTGAAGTAAATAGAGGTCATGGAACAAGGACCAAGATGTTTATTCTAAAGGCCTCCTGTCTGATGTCCTCCCGAAAACCCACCCTTGCCCTTGAACTCCAATGCTATGAGCAAAAGAAAATAGTCAGGGTTTTGAACTTACAAATGGACTTGGAAACCTCGAACCCACTCTGAAGGAAGACACCCCCAGACTAGCCTTGCAAAAGACCAAAGGGGGACTGACTAACTGTTAGTACATAACAGCTCATGGCACTCAACGGAGGGACTGGGAAGGGAAATCAGTAAGCCAGAATGGAGGCTTTCCTTAACACTTACCGGAAGTGACCTCCGGAGGCCCTCTTTCTGAACCACACAAGTAAGTTAGCCAGCACCCATAAACTCAGACTCAGCTGCAAGAAATAATACTGTGGGACCAACTTCTTCCTATTGCAAGGGGGCATCGATATTCTGATGAGCTACTTATTCCAACTAAGAATGCCTGTCATTGATGGGATGAGGGACATTAGGGATCCAAGAGGCATTGTTTTGTATCTTCGGCTCATCAGTGATGCGTCCCCATGCCGAGGGTGTCATTAGACTTGTTCCTCAGGTGACATCCCTGTACCTACTTGTGCTTGCCAAGTTCTCAGCCTTCCTCCGTCTCAGGCGCCCTGTGGAGTCCCCCACTCTGGGGATTTTAAGAGAAGAATGCACACCGTCCATGCCCTCAAAGAGCTCTCCATCCCGGTGAGAGACATAAAACATCTTAAGCTATACCATTGGTAAAATACTGATTTGAGTATCCAGAATTCTCCTGCACTTCTCCCCACCAATAAGGGAACAGTCTCTGTAGATCAGGAGAGTATCTGGGAGTAAAAGGAAGTGGAATTGGTCTCTGTGCTCTCCCAAACCCCCTCACTTTGCATCAAAGCACCCTCTTGACGTGGTTTGGAGAGGTAATTAATGTCGTGCATAAGGTAGTTATTCCAGGGCCATATTCTTTGTGTTCAATTTCTCATTCCAAAACACCTTTTACTCACTGGTGGCTTACGCCTATAATCCTACTTACTCAGGAGGCTGAGATCTGAGGATCACAATTCAAAACTAGCCTGGGCAGAAAAGACTGTGAGACTCTTTATCTCCAATGAAACACTAGAAAACCAGAAGAGGCACCGTGGCGCTAGCCTTGAGATAGTGCCCAGGCCTGAGTTCAAGCCCCATGACCAACAAAAAGTAAAAATAAAATAAAATAGAATGACTTTTGTAAATGACTTCTTGAATCTCTCTGATTCAGTTATCCCATCTATAAAATACGCATAAAAATATCATCCACCTCATAGAATTATTATGGACACATGCAATGGTCTTAAAACGAATCTTCAATCCAAAGATAGTTATCAGCCAGGGTGTTAGCTTCTAGCTCCATTTTTCAAAGTTTTTTAATCTATCATCAACTCTTGAGTATTCTTTTGCCTCAAATGCCTCTCTCTTTTTTTTTAATTCTTTTCATTCCCACCACCCTACTAAGAATAGAAGAAAGCTGAGCCAAATATCTTTAGTTTGATGTTGGGGCTGCCTATGAGTATCTACATACCCACTGCCAAAGGAGGAGATGGATGAAAGACTCTCTAAAGAATTTTGTATTTTGGCCCCATCTCCCACTTGTATTCTCAGATCTAAGTATCTTGAATTAGTAATCCATCAGCAATAACTTCCAAATACATTAAAATTTTCTTGGTGTACCACTTTTCTAAGAAGCCTAAATTCATTTATTCCTTCCACCCTTATAGTGACTTTTCACATAGGTATTTCTGGGATATCTCATGTTGGGAAAAGAAAAGCACAGAGAGATTTAACAACTTGCCCAGGATCAAATCAAAAGCAGTAAGAAACAAAGCCCAGGATTTGAGCCTAGTAGTGGGTTTCCAGATCCTGTGCTTCCAAACATGCAGAGGGACCCTCTCTCCATCAAGGGGACAACCTCTCATCAGCTTGCTTCAGGAGCACTAGCTTCTTCCCCCTCTAACACCAATGGAACTCCTCCATGCTTAGCCCAATAACATACCATCCTAATTTTAGCACTGTCACTGCCTCTTACCTCCTCCGCATCTCTCCAAATCATCCCCCTTGAGTTATCCCTTGCTATGAGATAGATGCTTGTAACCCACCTACTGTCTTCTACTGGGCAATCCGAGTAGAGTACCACCCAGCATCTGGTGTCAGGTACTTGTTTTCAACAGAAAAAAAAATTCCTGGATAACATAAGGCCATGAAGGGCAACCTTCTCTGTGGTCACCTAGAAAATAAATGCTGGCTCTTTGAAGGGTTCTGATGCTTCAGACTGAACTTCCTGAAGGTCTTCTGGCTGATGACTTCAAGTCAGGCCATCATCATCCTCAGGCTCCAGTATGGGGCAAAAATCCCTTCAACTATTTGATGTGCCTCACCAAAAAAAATGATATAAACTTGATTTTAATTATTATATGAATAATGGATGCCAGGAGCTAGCCTGTACCTCCTTCCACCCTCTCTCCTTTCTAAGACATACGCACACACACACTCACACACACACACAGAAGATAAAACCCAGAACAAGTCTTTGGTACATACTTGTAGGGAAGGGAGATGGGGAAAAGGGAAAGAGAAAGTAAAAGATTAGAAGGACAGGAGAAAACACTTAGAAAGGAAGAGAAGAAAGTGGAGAAATAAACATGAAAATAAACCAAGGGAAATCAGAATAAAAAGGAAGAGATAAAAAGAAGGAAAATTAATGGAAAGGAAAAAAAATAACTAAAAATACAACAATATGACTTGCAGAAGAGGAAGAAAGGAAGTCAACAAAGAAGGAAAATCAGAAGAGGGAATTTAGAAGGAAAGACATAGTGAAGCCTGGATAGAATGAAACTCCTGGCCCTCCCTAAGGGTCGTGTACAGTCATTACATTATTGACTTCATTCACCTGTGATGCAGACCACTTACTTTACTTAGGAAGATAAACTGTGTATATTTAAATTACTTGTGAACAACCATGCCCACCAACTCCAAAAGAGATAGACAATGAAGGGGCAGGGCACCGTCCTCGGGAACCAATGTAACCAATGAAGTAGACTTCAGAAGATATGGACTTTCCAAAGCAAAAATCTCAAGTCCCAAGAGTTCCTCCAAGTTCGTTCTCATAAACGATGATCAGAGAAGACAGATGGGATTCTGAGCTATGGCATTATCCTAAATAGAAGATACTGTATCTTTTAAAGACCTCACTGCTGATACATAGAGTTGTAGTCAGCTCATTAAATTTTCTACAGGCCCCCCTGAGAGTCTCAGGCTCTAAGCCATCACAGCCAAGCCAAGTATGCTGATACCATCTCCAGGGCCCTTCTCACTCAGTGATAGGGTACTGGAACTTCTTGGGGCTCTCAGCCAGGTTACCTTAGTCCTTATGTTTGGCCTCAGACTCAGGCTTGTAGGTTAAAGATGGTTCCTATTATTGAACACCGGTCCTCCATTAGGCACACAAAAGACTTTTATACAAAATGTCCAATAGTTTTCTATTGACCAAGACAACCACAGTTCATGTGATCCCAGATTATCCTCTGGTTTAACTTTCTACTAACCAGGTTCAACACGATTGATTCTGTAGTCTCAAATGTCCTTTCCTGTCCTCCAAACATGGACCAACTAGCTTTTGCTGCATAACCAAACTGGCTCAAAACATAGCAATCAAGCTGGGCTCTGATGGCTCATGCCTAAAATCCTAGCTTTCAAGAGGCTGAGATCTAAGGATCACAGTTCGAAGCCAGCCTTGGTAGGAAAGTTTGTGAAACTCTTATTTTCAGTTGATCATGGGAAAAGCTGGAAGTGGTGCTGTGACTCTAATGGTAGAGTGCTAGCCCTGAGTAAAAGGAGCTCAGAGACAGTGCCCAGACCTAGGGTTCAAGCCTCAGGACTGGTAAACAAAAACAACAACCACAAAAAAAAACAGCAACTAAAACACCACCATTTTGTTAACTCAAATTCTGTACATAAACAATTTGGGCAGAGCTCAGTTGAACAGTTCTGGTCTCATCAGAGACTTGGACTTGTCAGGTACTGAAGGCCTTAGCTGTGATGCCATTTCTCTACTCCACCTGACTTTCATCCTCCAGAGGTCAGCTCAGAACATTTGACATGGCAGTATAAGAGGGCCCTAAGAGAAAAGAAATACTCTACCAAGCAAGGCACACCAAGCTGGCACACCACTGTCTCACACCTGTTATTCTAGCTACTCAGAGGGTTAAAATTTGCGGATTGTGGTTCTAAGCCAGCCCTGACAGGAAAGGCTGTGAGACTCCATCAAACTGCTCAGAAAAAGCCAGATGTGGCACTGTGGCTCAAGTGGCAGAGCTCTAACCTTGAGCAAAAGAGGCTCAAGGACAGTGCCCAGACCCGAGGAACAGAAAAATAAAATCACAGCACATCATCATCTCTGCTACTGCATTCTACTGCACACAGCAAGGCACAAGGCCAACACACACTCATCTACTTCTTGATAGGAAGAGCAGCAAATTCAGATTGCAAAGATGCATGCATACATGGAATGGAAGATTTACAGCCTTTTTTGCAATCAACCATTCCATGCTTTTCTTGCCTTTCTATCTTCATCTCATTCTTCCAAGTTTTTCTTCTCTGTCTTTGAACAGTATCAGTCCTATCATATTACCGGAGTACTCCCTGTCTATTCCTACTAGGAGTAGCCTCTCTTCCCTCCACATCTTGTAGCCTTGTTGCATATGCTCATTTGCATGTGCTCATTTACATCAATTCATTTGCATTATGTTTCTATGGGTATACCATTATGTTTCTGTGGATATAATCACAGACAATATTCACAAGGATAAAAGCCAAACCCTACATTCTTTGGACACTCCTGTATGCTAAGTCCTCATGCTTGTACATAATAGGTATTCAAGAGATATTTCAGCAACCATTTTTTCCTCATACATACGGTTTTGCTTTGTAGACCTTGCAGTGTCCCACATTTGTATAGCTTATAAGTTTTTGAAGGAGAGACTAAGGAAGAAGAAAGACAGGGAAAAAATAAGCATTTCAGTGATTTCCATTGCAAGTCTGACTATTCATCTTTTGAGCTGTAAGAATCAAATGTTTCTTTGTTTATACTGCATGGGAATGGAACTAGAGATTAATTTCACCAATACTGAGATTTACTTCTTTCTGTTTGGATTGCTCCTTAAGGAAATTGTGGATTATTTACGAATACACTCACACAGTAGTACTTATGCTACATCCATGAGCCCTCCAGTAGCAGAACAAGTCATCCAGTCAATGAAGTTCATCATGGGACTTGATGGGTCCACGGAAGGTAAGAAGTTCTGGGGGAAGCCTACTTTAAGCTTCTCGCTAGGCTTGTGTCTGTCAACATCTTACCTTCTCAAACACCCACCTTTGTTTTCTGAAGCCAATTTTTAAATCAAGGTGACAAATATACTAGATAAACATGTGATAAGCAGGTGATAAATGTGTTAGAGTGTTAAAACACACACATAAATTCTTTGTTAAAGCAAGCTTTCTAAATCACCTCTTTATAGCATCACTCTGTATGATCTACTATGTTAAAGTGAAGTAAATTCCATGATTATAATGTGTGTGCACACATATATGGGCACATGTGTGTGTATGTTTGCTTGGGTTTACTTGGACTCTCTCTTGTGTTTCCTTAACACTAAAGTAGTCAATTTAATGTTCAATTTGTAAATGATCATATGTATATATATATATATATATATATATATATATTAATGTGAAAATACCATACAGAGGGGTTACAATTACATGGGCAAGATAATGAGTACATTTCTTATCAAGTATTGTTGCCTTCTTTATTTCCCCTTCCCAGCCCTTCCCATCTTCCCTCTCCCCTCCACTCCCTACCCACCCCCAAGTTGTAAAGTTCATTTTTCGACATAACGACATATATCTCATTGTTGCAATGGATCCACCTGTATCCTTATTTGAATGATTTGTTTTTTTCTCTTATATTTATATAGCCAGAGGTTAGACAGAGGAAATCTACTCCTGGCCACTTGAGGTCATATGGAGACATCTCATATAATAATTTTCCAGAAGTTTCCTTGCACTTAGAAATACTTTGCTCAAATGTAATACTTTGCTCAATCCAAGTGAACCAAATCTTTTGTTTTCGTTTTGAGGGCTTATCTTAGGGCCTGGGCATTGTTCTTAGCTTTTTTTCTCAAGGCTGGCCCTCTGACACTTGAATCACACAGTTCCACTTCCAGTTTAATTGGAGATAAGGTCCTCATGGACTTTCCTGCCTAGGCTGGCTTAAAACTTTGATCCTTAGATCTCAGCCTCCTGAGTAGGTAAGATTAGGAGCATGAGCCAACAATGCCACCCAACCTAAATCTTATTTTTTTTAACTCTCCCAAGCCTCTCATGAATAAGAACATAGCCACTGACTCAGCTGCCAGGCAAGCTAGTGAATATAATGAACGAAGCAAGTGAAGTTAACCCCAGAACTGCCCACTGGGCTACACAATCCTTGTGACAGATATCACCTCTCAGCTGACTTACTTGACACAACCTTCCAAACCAATTTTAGCAGACCATCCTTTTTCATTACCCTCAAAGCAGCAGAATATGGATTCACATATGCCAGGTGAAACCCATTGCCAAGTGAGGATCCTAAATGTGAAAATTCATAATCTGAAATGCTCCAAAATCTGAAACGTTTTGCGTGATATTTCTAGGCCACAAATGGAAAATGCCCCAGTTGACTTTGTGTGGTCAGACAGTCAAAATGCAGGAGAACTAAAAAAATATTGCATAAGAGTCTCCGGTGGGCTATTCATATCCAGTGTCTATGGAACACAAATTTTGTGTTTAGGCTTGGGTCCTATTCTCAAAATATCTCACTGTGTGTGTGCATGTATGTATGTATGTGTGTGTGTATGTATGTATGTGTGTATGTATGTATGTTGTGTGTATGTATGTATGTGTGTGTATGTGTTTGCAAATATTTTAAATTCCATGTGGTAAGATACCACCCATAAGCAAAAAATGCCCAGAGAAAGTGCAATGCCCTGAGCTCAAGCCCCAATATAGGCAAAAAAAGAAGCAGTAAAATAATCAAGGTCTGAGGCTGCAGTATGACTCCCTCAATGATATAGCATTTGCCTATGATGCTCAAGACTCTGAGTTCTAGCCCCATCACTGCAAAAATCATAAATAAATAAATAAATATTTGAAGGAATGCATTTGGAAACTAGTCTAAATTGGTTGGATTTTCTAATGTTATACTCTGTGAGTTTCAATAACTTTGCCATGAAAATTCATATCTAAGCAAAAATGCAAGTAAATTGTCGTATAAGGTATCTTTTGTCCTACTTTAACGATGAGCAACTAGGAAAAAAAGTAACCTGGGAAATTATAGCTTATACCTCTCAAGAGATGGTTTTTGTTTTTAACCAGTTCGGGGGTTTGAACCCAAGGCCTCACGCTTACTCAGCTGCCATTCCACCACTTGAAACATGCTTCCAATGCAGCTTTGTTTCTGGTTGTTTTGGAGATAAAGTATCATGAATTTTTCTGCTTATACATGTGAGTTACCAGTGGCTTGCTCACTAATGTTTTAAACCTTTATAAAACAGTTGATTTCCATATCTGCAGTTTTATAACTATTCTCTTCCCCTCTGCTGAATTGGTTTCTGGCTTTATAACTACTTGGACTTACTGTATTTATTTGACCACAATCAAAGATCAGCAGAGAGATTAATTCAATGTAAAGGCATAATGTTTTGTCCTTCTATACTCATCTATCACCAATATTTCTACTCCTGAGGTGGGAAATACTCATCTTGGTTCTGTCTCTTAACTTTATAATTAAAGAATTATTTGGTTATTGTTCTTCATTTCATAATGAAAGTCTCCAACTTTACTCCTCTTAAGAGGGAATCAAAAGCAAACTGAACGGAGAGTGTCTGATCTGTTTTCTTAGGGTCAAGATAGAATAAATAGGAAGCAAGATAGTATAGTTTCTTTTCAAAGAAATGAACAAAGGACACAGTAGAAAAGGAGATCCGCAGAATCATCCATCCAGTTTCAGGTGGTTCTGTCTGGCACATCTTTTGAAGAATTCAAAAGCACACAGTGAATGATCACACTGGCCTCATTTGCAACAATGCCTGCTTAAATGAGCAAGACAGGTTGGAGGATATTGCATTCATTTATCCCTTTCTGCAGAGATAGGCAGACTCTCAGGGTAAAGTTGCCTAGTGCTCAAAGGGATGCACTGTGTCTTGTTAGAACTGCCTAAAAGGATCTGAGAAAGAGAAGCCTGGCTCCAAGCCTTCATCTCCAGCCCACTCCAGTGCAACTATGATGGGAGCCTTTCATGGCTTTGTTACGGGTTTAGTTTGGGGAGCGATTGGCCAGATCTGTTCCTTGATGAATGTCTTCACTTTAATCTGCAATGCAAAGCCATATGCTTCAAAGAAAGGCAAGCTACAGGAATAAGGTCAGTGTTCCTTTGATGCCAAGGTTCAAAGATGAAATAGCAGTCCCAGTGAAATGACAATGTTTATGTACAAACAGCCACCTTTCCTCCCGCAGCAGCCAGGCTGCTGGTGGGGTTAATGCACACAGGCTGAGGGTCTGCAGGCCGGGTGTGCATTCCATAGGCACCAAGCCCGTTTAATCTCCTGGCCTGTCATTCTGTACAGTGTGCAAGGAGACCCAAGTGGAGATTTGATTTCTCCAGTCCTAATGGATATTGGGTGGTCCCCCAGCCACACCAATGCTGTAAGCCCCTTAAAGGCAAAAAAAAAAAAAATGTGCCTTGAATTAATTTGCTGTTCCTCTGAGTGTCACACTCAAAGCTCAGCTTAATAAATATGTCATGATTCGATTCCCATCTTGCCAGCCTGCTGGATTTCAGGTCAGGGTTTACACTAAACAAGATTATGGGATGTTTATCTCAAAGGATGGGGAGCTAGAAATCTGGTCTACCCTTGTTGTGGTAGCTGGAATGATCGCCCAATAAATGAAATTACATTGAGAAAGATCCAGAAAGGTTGCGGTGCATTTGTTTTCTTCATGTTGGCATGGCAAAAGCCAGACTAGGGGCTAGGCTACAGTCGATACCAACCACATACATAAAGGAGACGTTGTCAACTGTTGTCTTATTATGTTAAATCCTCAAAATGTATTTTCAATTAATCAGTCACCATTTTTTTCTGCTTCCAATCTTGACCCTGCCTTCCCACAGCCCCTTTCCCCAGCCCTCAGTAACCTTCCACTTCTCAGAAATACTAGGTGTTGAATTGCACAGATGATTACAGAGTGTGCTCTGTAGCTAGACCACATGAAACCCAGTGCCTGGCCCACCATTTGCTCCAGGATTAGTAAATTGTTTACCTTCTCTCAACCTCAATTCTTTTACTGAAAGTTGAGGTTATCTATGGCTCTTACCTGTAAACCTAGCTACTTAGAAAGCAGATATAGGAGGGTCAAAGTTCAAGGTCTGGCTCAGAAAAAAGCAAGACACTATCTCAAAGAATAATTCAAAATTATGGCATGTGCCTGTAATTTCAGCTACATGTGAGATAGAAGTAGGAGGATTAGCAGAAAAAATGTGATTCTCTGAAAATCACAAAATCAAAAAGCAGATGGTAATATGGCTCAAGTGGTTGACTACTCTTAGCAAGAACAAGACTCTAATACTAAAGAGGTAAGGAAGAAAGGAGGGAAAGAGGGGAGGAAGGAAGGAAGGAAGGAAGGAAGGAAGGAAGGAAGGAAGGAAGGGAGAGAGGGAGGGAGGGAGAGAGGGAGG